TAAAATATAAAATGTATGCAAACTGTATATTTTATCAGGCCATATTTTCTTTTGTTTGCCTGGTTATCCAGGACTACGTACAAATCATTCAAGATTTGCTTTTATGGTTTGTCACTAAGATGACTCTATAAAAGAAACCCTGATATCTCCCAGCTGTGTGGAATCCGTTCTGTCTAGCCATGGTGCACAAATAACATTTTTATTTGCATGATGTTAAAGAAATACTCAGCATATAAATACATAAGCAAACCTTATTACAAAGGGGATTGTGATGGCAAACACCTCTGGGAGGATATTGCACCACTTCTGATGCCTGAGAACTCAGACATGGCTTCATGATCTGTGCACATTGAGGATAAAGACAGAGCTCCCCCTGACTCAGTCTTTAAAAGGGTTGTGTAAAGTCTGACAAAGATCATCACCGTCTCCCATCTACTCACTAAGTCCTCTGTGACTATTCAGAGACAAAAGCATCTTTCAAGATCTTAGGTCTGGAGCTACAGAAGACTTCCAAGGCCATCTAGGGAAACCTCTTTCATTTTACGAGGAGGCAACTAAGTCCTAGAGAGGTTAAGTGACTTGCCCAGGATCTCAGAGACAGTGAGTGGCAGAGGCAGAATTCAAACCCAAGTTCTCTGACTCTAGCTAATCTCAGTGCTCTTTCCACTGTATAAGCCTTAAATGGGAGCAGAGAGGGCAGTGATCACTGTGTTGCTTTTCTTTGTTCCTTTGGCACAGAGACCAGTCAGTGTCTGGCACATACTAAGTGCTTAATGGATGCCTGTTGGTTGACTCAAATATGTTATTTGTTGTGTCCATAGGGCACCAGATCATATAGCCAAAGTGTTCGGTCATCTGCATGTTTTGTCTATATGGTTCTAAATATTTGGATATTTGTACATGATTTACAGCAATCAGGGAAACAACTGGTTAACAGACTTCTTTCGTCCTTGGCATTGGGTATGCAGATGCAGCTTTAATTTCAATCCAATAAAACTCACTTAAACTTCACCGTGAACTGCTAGCACAGAGAAGAATGCAGACAAGATTTAGGGGCTCTTCAGACTGACTTTGGATTTGAGTATCCTTTGGGAATACTCACTCTACTGTAGAACCGTCTGCTTCTCACAAAGTCTATGAGTGGTCCATCACGAAATCTCTGTGCAGAAAAGAAGGCTTTGGGGGCTAGCGAGCGTAGCCTTTACCTGATTGATTTTGAGTCAGACCCCCAAAATTATGAAGACCAGCTGAAGAAAAGAAACTCAGAGCTGGGATCATCCTTTACCTTATAGGATAGAATAGGAAGTGATGGAGCTGGTTTAAAGGATGATGAGGGCCCAGACGTGGCCAACACCCTTTACATTTGAGTAAGAATGGGAATTCTTATTTCATAGGAGGTGAGGAGGTGCATGATCCTAGCAACGACAAAAAGAACACAAACATGAATATTGGAAGTTTCTAAGTATGATGACCAGAGACAGGAGAAAGCTAGAAGTCAAGTGCTACTCATATACTCATCCATGTATATGTATATGCAAATGTATGGGTGAATAAGTATATATACATACGTGTGTGTATATGTGCATGTATACACACATGTGTGATGATGAGTGAGTACTATCAAGCCTCTTCCTCATAAATGCAAGCTATCACCTTTTTCAGTGCACAGCCACCAGAGCTATGGGTACACCATAACCCACAGAGGGCACAAACCAAAGCCGGAGTGCTAAACTTGTCTATTCTTTTGCCTACCTGTGTCTCGTGCTGATTCAAAGCCTATTGCCCAAGACAACTCTGACTTAGAGTTAGAAAATGCTTGGTTTTTTTTTGTGTTGGTTTTTTTTTTTTTTTGGTAATTTTCTAACATCATTGTTTTGTACGTAGATCAGCATTAAGAACTTCCAGCTTCAAAAGATACAATATTCTCTTGACCAATGTTATTTTTTACTGTTTCAACCTTAGTCATGAAAGGGGCAGTCTTTGCACCGATTGCCTCACAATGTATGTTAAAATTTTAATGTCTGTCAGCATCTGTGACATATAGTTCATAATACAAAAATTGATCCTATTTCTATGCTGATGAAATGGCAAAAAGAAGAAAAAGAAAATGCTTGTTAACTTTCACTTAAGCACTGATAAGGCTTATCTGCTCCCAAAAATCTGTTTTGAGAACTGACAAAAGATCTCAGCAAAAGCTCTGTTTTGAAGACTAGAAAGACCTCAGGTAATATCCAGTCCAACCTTCTCATTTTACAGAAGAGGAAACTGAGGCTTAGAAAGTAGAAATAGTACCTCAAAGTACAATAGGCTCATAGATGTTGAGCTTGAAGGGGTTTTAAAGATGGTCTGGTTTAGCCCTCTCATTTTACAGGTGAGGAACTTAAATTCAGTGACATTAGATGTCCTGCCTAAGGTCACACAGGTCCTAAGAGACAGAGTGTAGAGACAAGTCTTCAGACTTGAAATTCAGTGTTCTTTTTATTAAACTAAGTTGTCTCCTAAGTATGCAAATACTAAGTGACCGAGAGAGGATTTGAACCCAGGATCTCGGACTCTAAATCTAGTATTCTTTCTAGCTTTCCACATGGCAGGAGTCTATAGATAAGAGGGAAATTCAGATAAATCTGTTTAAAACTGACAATTTGTTACTCTCGATTTTCAGTCTTCATAATCATTTAGTTTGATTAATGTGTTACCTCTGTAACCAAAGATTCCTCTTTAAGCATCCCGTACAGAAAGTTTCCAAAGGGTGAATGGATGAGTGGTCTGCCCTTTGGGTTACGTGGCCCTAGTTCTGTCTTAGGACTCCGTTTTTTTTCTATTTCTGGACACTTCTTAGGAGACATGCTATGCCTAGCCTGAGTTTCTGGAGAGACAATTAATTTCAGACCGCCAACAGTTTTGAGTATTAATCCTTTGTAAAATCTTCATCTAACTTGTTAAACTGAATATAACTGCAGACTTCCACCAAAAGAATGATACAATGGTGTGGCTTTAAAAGTATTCAGGGACCTGTAAAATGTCTAGGATTAAAATTTCAATACCATTTGTGCCCAATAAATGTGCAGTCCTTAGTAACTTAAAACTGCATGATTATGAGTCAGACCCAAAAAATTATGAGGACCAGCTGAAGAAATGGAGCTTGCAGAGGAGGAAGTCTGGGATCATCCTTCACCTTATGGGATAGAATAGGATATAATGAAAAAGCCAGGAGCTGACCTCATCAGCAGAATTTGTTTAAAAGCTAGAACTGGATTTGTTTAAGAAAAAAAGATAGGGGCACTCTGGAGGAAAGAAAAAGGTTACGATGACATTTGGGCCATTTTTATGGAGATGGGGTTAAATGGAGGGTGTCTTTATAGGTAAAGACTGAATTCGACAGACAGCTGGGGCAGCAGAAGACAGCGTCCCACTGGGTGGACCACATGCTCTTTCCGAGACTGGCCTGGTCCGTCTGAGCAGCCAAGACTGAGGATGTGAACAGACTCACCCTGAATTTAAGTGACTCATTGAAGCAGCTCAAATTAGTCTCAGTAAAGTGTGGCCAAAGGGAATTAGCTTAATATTGGCTGCCTGCTGCCCAGAGGGGAAAATGTACATTCCTGGCCTGCCTTTCTACCCAGCCTGTCCCACCGTGGTTCCTTCTTATCTTTCCAGGGCTGGTGATCACAACGCCCCTCCTTGCCCTCTACATTCCTACCACCTTGGCCCACTGGATGATTTTTTAAGCTTGAATTTAACTTTGTTTTTCAATTAATAAGCATATATTTGCTCTCCCATCCTACCTCTTCATTAAAAATAAGAAGAAAAGAATGCTTGTAACAAATATACATATTCAACCAAAACAAATTCCACATAGGCCATGCAAAAAAAAAAAAAAAGGTATGTTTCCTTCTCTATCTTGAGTCTGCTGCCTCTCTCGGGAGGTGGATGGGTGGCATACCTCATCATTGGTCCTCTGGAAACATGGCTTGTCATTGCACTGATCAGAGTTCTTAGGTCTTTACAAATGTTGCTGTTGTTATGCAAATTGCTCTCCTGGTTCTGCTCACTTCCTTCTGCATCAGTTCATACAAGTCTATGAGGTTTCTCTGAAACCATCCCTTTTGTCATTCCTTATAGTGCAATAGTATTCCGTTACATTCATACTACATTATGGGATCGGCCATTCCTTAACTGAAAGGCATCTCCCCAGTTTCTAGTTCTTTCTTACCACAAAAAGAGCTGATGGGAGCAAGTAGGTGGCGCAGTGGTTAGAGCACCGGCCCTGAAGTCAGGAGGGCCTGAGTTCAAATCCAGCCTCAGACCAAACACGTGACACTTACTAGCTGTGTGACCCTGGGCAAGTCACTTAACCCCAATTGCCTTAAAAAAAAAAAGAGCTGATGTGAATATTTTTGTCCACATAGGTCCTTTTCCTCTTTCTTTTATTTCTTCAGGGTAGAGGGCTAGTAGATATATTGCTAGGTGAAGAGGTGTGTGCAGTTTAGTGATCTGGAAGGCATAGTCCCCTTCCCTGTCCCACATCTACACATTTGTGTGAGCTGTCCCTCATGCTGGAGCACACTTCCTCCTTGTCTTCCCTTCCTTCAAGGCCCAGCTTAGGGACTATGGAGGAGGCAAGGGTAGGTTCAGAGGAATGAACACTGGATTTGGAGCCAGAAGACTGGAGTTGAAATCCCAGAAATGCCATTTTAAGGCAAGTAACCTAATGCTTCTGGACATCAGTTTCCTTTTCTGTAAAATAAGGAGGCTGGATTTCCTTCTAGTTCTAATTTTACAAATTTTGTATGTGTGTGTGTGTGTGTGTGTGTGTATATGAATATGTTCATATGCATATGTACATGTGTGTATGTATATATGCATATATATAGGTATAGGTATATGTGTATATATACGCACACATATATATGGGAAACCAAGTCATTTCAGTAATATGCCTATGCTGGACCCTTCTCCACTAAGATATAAACCTGCGGGCTGTTTGTCTTTGACTGCAGGTGTGATTGTGGGGGGCCTCTTGGGAGCCTCTGAACCGCCAACAAGAACCAGGGACCATCCTGGCAGGTACAAGATCGTCAGCCCCTCCCTTCTGAATGGAGAGCCATGGAGTCCACTCAGTAGCATCCCACCTAAGGTCAGTTCTAAATATTTTCTGAATTTTTCAATTGACCTTACTGTACATTTTAGAATACCAACTTTACATTGTTCCTATTTAATATCGTTTTCCCTGGCTGTGATGAATTTACACATGTGAAATGAAGGCTTTGTTTGGAAGAAGATAAGAGTCCATATTGTTTTGGTGTTACAGTATAATTTCTGTGGGACCATGAGGCTACAGCATTCTCCACATTTATTGAACATTGGTTTTTGTCAGAAAGCCAGGTATTATGTACTTAGATATAGAAGTATTGAATTTTTCATGTGAAAAAACTAGGACTTTTCATTTCAAATAATCCATTTTTGTCAATTTCATTAACGTGTAGTTTTTACTGACATATCTACCAACATCTTAAATTGAACACACTTTTTATAAAGGAATCCTTATGTCCTTTCTTCTATTAAAATTCTTTGAGAATATAGGTTTTTAATTTCTTTCAATCAATTCAGATTAATATTTGATACTTTGATATATCTATAGAACTGTGTTCCCATCCATGTGGGCTTTCATTTCAACAGTGTTGGTTGTAAGTCACCTTCTCATCATGAACAACTCTTCTCTATATTCTCCTATGATCCTCCATTGTGGGATCTACCCAATGTTCTGGGCTTTCCTCTGGATCAGGCCTTCTTACCCATGGATAGATTTTACTGGGTCTGTGAACATGGATGAGAAAAATTACATCTTTGTTTCCATATAATTGAGTTCCTTTGCAATCTTATGTATTTTATTTTACCCATTTGAAAACATAATTGTGAGTAAAAGTCAAAAGGCTTCACTGGTCTTCCTAAGGGGACCATGAACAAAAATAAGTTAAGAACCCCTGTTCTAGAGCTCTTGACACTGAGCCCATCTCAACATTCAATTAATGTGAAGAATGTTACAGCTTCATGGTCCCACACAAGGGATTGGAGAACATGGACTGTTCACTCACCTTGGCACCAATGATATGTGCAACCCACCTTCTTTTACACTCATGCATTCCTTTTATAACGACTTTTTGGGTTACTTTTCCTATGGAATTTTTCACATATTCCTCATGTCCACAATATGTTTCTTTGTTACCCTTTGGGTAGCATTAATATTAAAACACATTATCAATTTGTTCATGAACATTTGAAGTATATGTCGAAATGCTCTATCTAGATAGGTTTTGCTTAGGCTGTCCCAGTTCCTGTTCATGTGGTTTGGGATAAGTTTTCCTAACCGGCCTAACCCATGGGATGTGAGAAAGAATCTATAGGAACATGAGATCTTTGGCGAGATAGCACAGATGGCTTTGCCCTTGTTTTCTGAGGAGTTATTTTTAGATCATGTCCTTAATTGAAACCAGGCGTTCTCCTTACTGAGTACTCAAGGTTACGCGGCCTCTCTCAGGAGCTACACTGAAGCACCTTCACATGAGGAACAAGAATGGGAGGGAAGCCGTTAATTCAGTTCCCAAATAGTCTTGTGATTTAAAGCGAGCGTTCAGACAGACTGGAGGAGTGCTCCAAAGACCTGAATGCACCATCAGCACTTTTGGATTTGGTTTTTCTCATGCATACTCTTGCAAATTGAATTCATAATGTACAAATCAGGCATGGCTATAATAATAATGTCAGCCCAGCTTGGGAGAAATGCTCACATGAAATTTTAGAGAAACTTTCTCATGCCATGATTCATCAAAGGCAGAAGCAATATGGTAAATGTCAGGAGAGGGGACATGCTATTTTACACCTACAACATAGCTGTTTTGGCATCTTCTTTGTGAAAAAAAAAAAAGGCTAAAAACCACGTAATTCCATTTAGATGGTGAGGCTCAATGCTGATTCTCACCACATGCCTTAGAGGTTACCACTAGACAGCAAAGAAGCTGGTGTTAGTCATGCTGGCATTGTTGGTTAGCATACAGACCTGCTGATGCCAAGGTGATGGGTCTGATCCTGGTGTGGACCACACAAGATGGTCTCTCTATTTTAATGGTCATAGATGGTACCCTTGACTCCAGTTAATCAACTCAGAAGTACATACAAGTGGGAACCAGAGCCCTGAATGGGATGGTCATGGGGGGAGAAGGAATATGGATCCATCACCACTACTAGGAAAACTGATGAGAACACAATGGCACTGATAACCTGTGCATATAGCATCCTTCCCATGTAGAAGGGGCAGATGACATCATAATGTTAGCAGGTAAACTTCAAATATCTCAGTGTTGGAACTATTTGCTTAGATAGTTTGATGGAACCGCCACCTCACCATATAGGCATCCCTCCATCAATGTTGATCTCAAGCTATTCCTGCCATGTTCTCCTGGGCATTTTTGTCTTTGTCCTGGCTTTGGAAGCAGGGGACCTGGCTTCCTATGCCACCACTGACATTTATTGCCTGTGAGTCCCTCAGCAAATCATAATCTCCCAGCAAAGGAGACTAAAAAAAGAGCAGTAGGGTCAGGTAGAAGGAGAACTGACAGGGTGGCACCAGAAAAACTCAGGGATGGGGCAGCTAAGTGGTGCAGTGGACAGAGCTCTGGCCTTGGAGTCAGGAGAACCTGAGTTCAAATCCGGTCTCAGACACTTGACACTTATTAGCTGTGTGACCGTGGGCAAGTCACTTAACCCTGATTGCCTCACCAAAAAAAAAAAAAAAGCAAAAACAAAAACAAAACTCAGGGAGAGGAGAGTATCTAGCAGGAGGAGGTGGTCCAGAGTTACACAGCTGCTAAGTGTCTGGGGCTGAATTTGAACTCAGGTCTTCCTGACTCCAGGCTCTATCCACTGCACCACCTTCACTGAAACCTAAAGACCCCTACCCCACATAATGTGGAAAATAAAATACTTAGGATTACAAAGGAAACCAATTATATTGAGAGAAAGATGTAATTTTTCCCACTTACATTCATAGGAACTACTGAGATCTGTCCACTGACCCCTGCTGTCTGTGGACCCCCGGTTAAGAACCTCTACATGAAAGGCATTATTCCCATTATTTAGATGATAAAACTGAGTCCCAGAGAGATTTAGTGACTTGTGAATAGCCGAGGATTTAAATGTATTTCCTAACAACAAATTGTACATTCTTTCTGGTGCCCTATGCTACTGCCACTGTTTTAGTGAACGTATTTTTCACAATACGTTGACTTGGCTTGCTCCTTACTTCCACGTTGATTGGAAGTCCTGGAGAGGGTAGGGTCCAGGCTTTCATTGTCTTCAGATGTGTCTACATGGTATACAAACAGCCTCGTTTTCCTTCAGATGTGAACACGTGATCTCCCTTAGCATGACCCCAGAGGACAAACCTGACTTCCTCGGCCTTGGGTTTCTACAACTGCCTCCTTTGTGGCTGTGAGGGCAAGAGACAGATGTCTGGGCATCCTGGGAAAAGGATGCCTTTCTCTACTCTGATAGAAGGTCGTCATGCTCTCTCTGGTACTCTTAGAGACCCTCATCCCGACTTCAGCTGGAACATTTTTTACAAATCCATAATTGACTTAAGGCCTCCCCTTTCCCAGTCATCACTGTTAATGAAAAGTTCCACCTTGTTCCTGGAATTAAGGATGCAGAAAGATGTCACGGAAAGAACACAGACTCTAAGGTAAACAACCTGGGTTCTCGGCCTAGCTCTGTGGAGTGGGGCCCTCAAGGTCATGGCGTCCAGTTTTGCAGATGAAGGCAGAGGGTCAGTGATTTGCCCAAGGGCACACAGCCGCCTAGAGGCAGTCTAGGGATGAGAGCTTTGATCTCCAGGGCTAGTCGGTTCTCTTGCCTCTTACTCAGTTGCCTCTTGGAAGTAAGAATAATACTAAAAGAAAGAATGAGACTACAGACACTTCCTGACTTGCGTAGTACTTTTGAGGAAAGTGCTTTGTAAGCCTTCTGGTTTTTGAAAAAAAAAATGGGCACTGGAATGATGAGAATGATGAGGATGACAATGAGGCTACCTCAGGATGGATGCCATGGCCTTGGCCCTGATGATTGGGTCTCATTGGGCAAAGCCAAGAGAGAATTAAACCTGGAGAGCTAGCTAAGCAATTTGTGATCACCAAACCAGGTGTTTCTGGTCCTGCCCCCTGAGGCTTGATTAAAAACTGTTTCTTAAATCTCAACTTTCCAGAAACTTCCTCAGCTCGATAACTTTACATTACCTGAGCAGATCTATTCCTCCAGTCTAATTTAAGGTAATTACTTGAAATTCATTTCCCAGAATTTTAGCTTGGGTAAGGGCCTCGGTGGCCAACCGGTTTAACCCACCCACATCCTCCCCAGCCCTCCAAAATGCTCTCTATAACATCTGCAACAAGCCGTCATCCAGCCTCTGCTTGAAGATCTGGCCAAACGGACTCCCCTAACTCTTGGGGCAGTCTCCCCTACCTCTGGATAGCTCACTGGCAGCTAGTTTTCTCCAACGTCCAGCCTCCGGTTGCCTCTTTCCCACTTCAACCCCTTTTTCCTAGTTCTGCTCCCTGGAGATAAGGCTAATCCCTTTCTCAACACAGCGACCTTTGAGATACCTGAACCCACAGATCCTATCTCCTTCAATCTTGTTTTCTCAGGCTAAGCAGTCTTGGTTCTTTCATGGTCTTCATTTGCCTTCTTTCCCAAGTGGCATTATGATTGGTTGGAGTGAAAATCCTTGTATTTCATCTTGACTGGGAGAAGACACTGTGGGTCTTACTTTTGACAGAATACTGTATTGCCCAGAATTCCATCGGAAGATATGGTTATTAACCTGGAGCTCCCTGCTTTTCTGAATCTGGAACTAATGAGGCTGAGGTCACAGATTCAGTTATGGTTCCCAGATCAATCATGACTTCAGACTGACAGCTCTACCCAAGCCAGCAGTCTCACATGGGCAGCCAGAGAATAGTGTAACTGCATCAGTAGAAATCCATCACCAAATGGGGAGGAGAAACTATCCAAGATCTCTACAGCTAATGGTGCCAACTTTGTATAAAGCCATCTGTAGGGTGGGGGGAAGGGGAAGGGAAGAAGGAA